CAAGACTGAGGGTAAGCCACCATTCTTGGCCCCTCTAACCCAGTGTCCCCTGAGGTAATATTTTTTTTGGGGAAAAATATTAGACCATGTTCTTCCCCAACTTAAAAATCCTTCTATGGCTCCCCATTGTGGTGAGAACAAAAATTAAACTCCGATCACTGCCTCTGCGGCCCTCTGCGATCCCGCCCAGTATGGTTTCTCTAACATTTTCTCCTAGCACTTGCCCTACCTTCGTCAGTGGCAAGCTCAGTGGCTAGCTCAGTGGCTCTCGCCCTGGTCCCGAAGCACCAACTCCTGCCTGGCCCGAGCCTCTGCACTGGAAGCTGCTTCCTCGAGGTCTTGCAAAGCTGGATTTCTCCCATCGTTGAGGCCCAAATTACCTCCCCAGGTAGATCCTCCCTGACCAACAAGTGCAGGGTGAGTTCCTCCACCTGGGCTGTTCCACCATGCTGGACCTGAGTGTTAACACTTCATTGTCTGCACCCCCACGTGCAAGCACACACACACACACACACACACACATCCATTCAAGTGTTCGTTCCACAGCACAGAAGCCGTTTCTCTCTGTGAACTGCGGAAACTCCGATGCTCACTCCTGGATTCTGTCTTCAATCTTAAAGATTGTGGACTAGACAGTGTGGAGGGATTGATAGGATGTTAAAAAGGTGGACATTGAAGGCCCCGCCATGTCACACGGCGGGCCCGGTGGAAGTCAGAGAGCATGAACTTCGAATTTGCTCCAGCTACTTGTGACAGTGTGGAAGGGGCGTAAAAGGCAGGTGTTGGAGGCAAGCGAACCTGGGAGGATGTGGTGGGTCGAGCCAAGGTCAAAGCACTACGGTCAGCAAATGTCAGAGAGGGCATGTCACAGAGGGATCAACTGGGTCCCTGCCAAGGGAGCTGACAGGCTGAATGGATTGATACGGGGACAGAGAAAGGGAGGCGAGGTCTATTACAGCGAGTCCCAGAAGCTTCTAGTGTGTCCCCACACTGCCACTGTGTCTCCACTGCCACCCGAGGCTGCCCTCTGGTTGGGCTCTCAGCCAGCTCTATCTCTGGGCGGCCCTCTCAGCACAGCAGGTGCAGCTCTCCCTCCAAGTGTCCCTCTGCAGTTATCATCGTGGCTAAAGATGTCAGTGACAAGTCACCTAACGCTCAGGGAGCAGATAACATCCAGAGAATGTAATTCTTAAGAGCCTGCAAATTCTCTCACCTTTCCTTTAGCTAAGGCTCTTCCCCATCTCCATTAACAGGGTTAGCAGCACTTGTGAGGGAAAGGAAGAACCGGCCCAGGAGGTAAGTAAGCACTAAATCCCAGCCCCCACTCAGTGACACAGGAATAGTTAAGCGATGACAGTTGATTTTTTGCCCCTGAATTACAGAGAGGTGGGTGGATTCAGACTGGCTTGAGAGGAGGTAAGGGTGGGCTGCTGTGCTCTTTTCTCAGGACTATCACTCAGGAAAAAGAGAAAAGATAGAAAAACCTCCAGTTGGGGCTGCAAACAAATAGGATTTGCTTATTTATAGGATTCCCAGTGCCTTAGTCAGCTTTCTGTTACTGTAACAGACAACTGAGATAAATAAACTTATGAAGAGGAAAGGTTTAGTCTGGCTCACAATTTTGAAGGCTTTAGTGTGAGAGGCCATCTTCGCATGTGATTTGAGTTACCTCCCTGGCTGAGTGAGAGGCACTTAGACACAGCTGTGTCAGAGCTTTCCCCACCCTTTCCAAGGTCCGAGGGCTTGTCCGTGCAGAAGCGTGCCTAGCCACTACCCCGAACACCCAATCGTCGCCCCTGACCTTGGGATGCTGCCCCCTTAACCTTCATTGGATGGGATTTTCCCCAGAATTTTTTGTTTCCCAACAAAAGTCCACTCCCCGGCGTGTTCTCTCTCTCTCTCTCTCTCTCTCTCTCTCTCTCTCGCCTCTTCAGTAAACCTCGCTACTGCATTTGGTGGCTGGAGGCTGGAGCTAGGAGGAGCCGTCCTGGAGCTGGTTTAAAGGTAATTAGAGTCTTGTCTCTTTAATTTAAAACTCCCTAGCGGTTTCTCATGACTGGAACCTTTCTTTAGTCCTTGATGGATGGGCCCCACTGCTTTGGGCCTATAAGAGCACATCATGGCAGGAATGTGGAGCAGAAGCCCATTCACCTCACAGCAGCCAAGAAGTAAAAGAGGAAGATAACAGGATGCCACAACCCCTTTGAGGTCCTGCCTGTGAAGACCTGAGATCTCCCGCCAAGCCCCACCTCTTAAAGTTTCTAAGCCCCCTCCCAGTGCCACAATGGGAAGTGAGCCTTCACACACATGGCCCTCGGGGACATTCCTAATCCAAACCAGAACCCTGTTAAATCTGAATTTCAGATAAACAACAATTATTTAGAATAAGTGATAGGCATATGATGTTTAATATCAGTATATTTATACTAAAAAAAAATTCACTGTTTATCTGAAATTCAAATTTAACTGGGCATCCTGTACCTCACCTGGCCATCTGCTCTCGAGTACACACTAGAGAGGAGGATCGGGCTGGATTGAGCCTTTTAACGGAGGAAGCTCCCTCAGTGTCTACACAGGGTGGTTGGTTGCACAGAAAGCCAAAATCTTCAGGGGTCATTCTGAATATGAAAGAGAGATAAACATCCTATCAACTACTTAAAGATGAGAGAATTTGGGCTGGGTTTGTGGCTCAGTGGTAGAGTGCTTGTCTACCACATCTGAGGCACTGGGTTTGACCCTCAGCACCACATAAAAATAAAATAAAGATATTTTGTCCACCTATAACTAAAAAATAAATATTAAAAAGACCTGAAAAAAAAAGATAAAGGGGGGATAGGAAGGGCAGCAGAATAAAATAGACATTATTATTGCTGTATGTAAAAAAAAAAATACTGGGGACTGAAAAAAGATGAGAGAATTCAAAACAGTTGTATTACACATACATATAAAATACATTATATTATCTAATGTGTATAATAGGCATGGTTTATATATGTGCACATATGTATAAAATACACACATGTATCTATAGTTATGTGAATATATTACATATGTGTATTAGGTTTTGCTCTGCAGCTAAGTTACAAATTGCTTTATGCTCTCTCCGTAAAAGCAAACACAAGCTCAAGGCCTGAGTAAAAGCATCTGAGTTTTGTCAGTTGCTCTGGCTCGGGGAGAGCGTTGGATGTGTGCTTTTAACTTACGAATCTGTACAGCCCATGGTTTCCATGATTTTGCCCATCACAGATTAGGGTTCTGGGAGGGCAGAAGCCGAAGAGCCAATCTCTGAATTAAGTACATTCCTGAGGCCTGCGACATGTTGAAGTTACCTTCGCATTTACCACAACCACTTTTCAAGGAACGGTAATATGAAACACTGTGGGCCCAAGAGGGGACCGACACGGAGCACCCTGGTCACTATTTATTTTGTCTGAGTGGTGATAAAAATCAGGTCATTCTCAATCATAGAAACACAGACCTGGGCATAGTGAAATGTATGTCATGTTCTCTGTGTGTGATTTCTAGCTGTTTTCCAAAGCAAGAGGAGGGATAGCAACCAACTCCTCTACCCCAGGGAGCACTGCACCCAATTACTGTCCACAAACCTAGGGAAAAAGAAGGTCAACAGCGTAGCTTTCTTTCTCCATGCTCTGTAGGAAATTCTGAAAGACCAGCAAATGTCAGCCTGCAATTTGGCCATAATCACAGCTCTGAAAAGGAGGAAAAGGGAAGTCTATAAAAACTACTGATGGCTGAGAATAGAGCTCAGTTGGTAGACTGCTTGCCTCACATGCACAAGGCCCTGGGTTCGACCTGAGCTGACAGCTGGTTGCAGACTGACTCTCTGCTGCTAAACATCCCATCTCGGCACACCTGAGCATCTCACGCCACAAGGTCCTAAGAGGACTGGGCAACTTGGAAGGGATGATACACAGGCCCAGATGGTGCACATCTGGCCAAAAATTAGGAAGAGAAAGAAATCAACTTCTCAAATCCACAGACAGGTGTTGGGGCTTCCCAGGAGACCTGCTTATGAAGGGCAACCGGGATGGTTCCAAACTGATGGTTAGTTAAGGAAGAACAAAGGCCCCTGGAAAATGACAAAGAACTGGTACAGCAACCAAACAGGTGGCAAGAGTATGCCTGCCGCCCACCTTCTCTTGATAATAGCATCATTTCTAAGACATTTACATTATTTAAATTATTGTGACCAAGACATCTTTAATAATGCACCAAACAGCAGGCACCAGGTTAAAATCAATTAGACTCCACTGCTAAATTACAAGGGAGAAATTTACAGCAGAATGGCTCTGGGGTAGAAACTGTAGGAACACAAGCCTGCCAGAGACGATTACGTTAGGAAGCAAATGGGTATTGCCTCCATTTACACAGCAGAGAAGACGGCCAGGTGCTCCTAAATATAGGGCAATCATTTTTTTTTTTTTTTTTTTAACGTGGAGCCCCTTCTCTGGGCAGGAAAGCTTCTGAGTGGCCAAGAAAAAGACCATGGAGCTAGGTACATGAGAAAAGGCAATGGGGATGGGTACAAGAGCAGGGTGATGGCGACGGAGCGACGCACAGTCTGGTTTGGGAGATTTTCTGTGCAAACACAATTCAGCAAGTGGGGCCACCGTGAGCCCAGCTGATGGGCTCTGCCGCCGGGAGGGGGACGCCTGGGCTCTGGCTGCACCCTCAGCTTTTCCCCGGATTTGGGCGTGTCTCCGCAGTACCCAGAGAGTGACAACCTAGGTGATGTGACGCTACAGACTCCCTTTTGAGTCCCAGAGCGGCCCCGCGATGGCAAGGCGGGTCTCCGGCCGCAGCGCGTGGGCAGCACGTGGAGGGATCCGGCCGCGCGGGGGCGCAGGGCGCAGGCGCGCTCGCGCGCGGAGACTCCCGGCCGCCAGGGGCCGCTGTGGCGCAGTCGGGCGGAATCGCGGGCGGAGCCACGACGCGCGGGACCCTCTTGAGTACGGCCCTGCCGGTTTAGCGGGGTGAAAGGTTGCGAAGATGGCGACGGCCTTGGGCGAGGAGGAGCTGGACAATGAAGACTATTACTCGCTGCTGAACGTGCGCAGGGAGGTGAGGCCCGCGGGGCGACGCCGTCGAGGTTGCGGCTGGCTGAGCGGCTCTGGAAGGCCGCGCTGGCCACGCCCGCCCCGTTCGACCCCGGAGCCGCGGCCTGGCCGGAGCCCGCGTGACCCCGCCGCCGCGCGCGCTCCCGCCGGCCTCAGCCCGAGCCCCACCCGAGTCCCGCCGGCCCCCGCCGATCCCCGCCGACCCCCGCCAAGCCCCCGCCGCGGAGCTGGTGGTCCCTGTCCCTGCCTCACTGCCCAGGCCGCCCGCACGCTGCTTGCGCCCTTCCAGGCAGGGCCGGGGACGCGCAGGGGACGGGCTCGGGAGCCCCGGGGTGCGTGCCCAGCCCACGTACCTGCGCTGGCCCTGGAGCCGTGTTGTTGCCCCGAGCCCACAGGACGGTGAGCTGAGGCTTGGACACCAAGGTCACGGCCGCCAGGGGGCCTCTCCAGGCTTCTGTCCCGGCCCCAGTGGGAACGTGCAGCCCCTGCAGCGAGGGCAGCCTTGGAAGCGGGCACCTCGGGCGGGCTTTGCCCCTGGGCAGCTGTCAAGACAGGGGAGGTCAGCCTCCCGTCCGCTACTCAGAGGCCGCGGGAGAGCTGGAGCCCACAGCCCGGAAACAAGTGCGGCCCAGGCCTCGACTTCGGCACCCAGACCACGTGCTGATCCCCTGTTCCTTCGCGAGCAGAAATGAGTGCGAGGGTGTCTCAGTGTCCAGCGGGCATGCATTTGCAGAGCATTTCTTTCCTTGGTGACTAGACTGCAGTTGAGATCGGACTTGAAGGGCAGAAAGGCTTCCAAGGTCAGGTCATAGGGTGCACCGGTTATCCCAAGCTGCTGGGTCTAGACTTGACAGCGCTACTGGAGAATCCCTGATTACATCTCAAGTTTTCTGGCCCTATGCATCGCCTGTCCGCTGTTTGTGGTGTTTGGTAATGTTTCTTGAGTACTCGCTTTGTGCAGGGCCACACTTCTGGATGAACACTTCCTATTACGTTGTCTTGCTTAATTCTCACGGCTGCACTTAAGGCAATCCCCATGATTTGTACTTGAGGGAACTGAGGCATAGGGAGACAACTCACCCAGTGTCACACCACTAGCAAGTGCAGAAGCAAAACTTCAACTCTGGACACTGTGACTGAGGAGCCCCAGCCTCGGTTCTGTGCTGCCACCTCGTTGTCCAGGTCTCCAACAACACAGCCGCTGATTTTGGTACTGTGTTCTTGGGCACCACACCTGAGCATCCTCCAAATGTCTTAGTCACTACTATGGAAAGTCTGACAAAATATTTGGGGGAGTAGTGGATCTTGTTAAGCTACTGTGAGGCGTCTAGGGGTTCCTGTTCTCAGTATGTAACAAATCAAAGCTGAGACTTTGGGTAAATCACTTCTTTGGCCGTCAGTCTCTTTCCTGTGGAATGAGCTGTCTGGCAAGCAATTTTTCCTGTTCTTGGGAACAAAGCACTCACAGCCTTTCTTAACCACTCATTCATAGTCTTCAGCAATTGACCAACCACTTACCTGTTTTCCAGGCTTACTGAACTAAAGCAGCTGTAGGGGATCGTAAAGACATTTGCCAAAGGTATAACTTGAAACTGCTAGAATTTTAGGGGTTGCCTTTGTTACTGGATTGATGAACGGGGAACCAAGGAAATACTTATTTGAACTTGTCCTTGTGAGTGGAGGCGTTTCCCATATTTATAATTAGGTATAGGTGAAGCTTTTATGAAACGTGCTTCTGTTGCCCTTGTTGACAGGCACAGTGTTAAATGTCATCATCAGGCTTGGTGTGCTGTTCTTTTTTTATATATATATTTTTTAAATAATTTTTTGTAGTTGTAGATGGACAGCATACCTTTATTTTAATTGTTTATTTTTATGTGGTGCTGAGACTTGAACCCAGGGCCTCACGCATGCTAGGCAAGTGCTCTACCACTGAGCCACAACCCCAGCCTCCCGGCTCTTTTTTAAAAAGATACACATTTTTTATATTTAGAGACAGGGTCTTGCTAAGTTGCTGACTGGCTTTGAACTTGTGGTCCTCCTGCCTCAGTCTACCAAGTCTCTGAGATTACAGATGTGTGCCACCATGTGTGGCTCTCATACCTTCTTTAGCAATATCCTTATTGCCTTTGTAAGAATTTCATTTTTACAGTGTGTTATGTTTATACCCTGTTTTAAGATCTGGTCCCTGATTCAGGAGGCTGAGGCTAGAGAATCACACATTTGAAGCCAACCTGGGCAATTTAGGGAGACCCTGTCTCAACATAAAAATTAAAAAAGGCTGGGTGTGTAGGTCAGTGATAGAGCCCATCTGGGTTCAATCCCTAGTCCCAGAAAAAAAAAAAAAGTGTGTGTGTGTGTGTATCTCCCTGCATAGTTGACTTGGGTGAGTCAGAGACTTTGCTGTAAGTTGAGGCTAAACAGGGAGCAGGGTACAAGCTCAGGAATAATTAAAAACAAGCAACCAAACAGAACAGTGTCTGGGATAAAGGTAAACCCAAAGATAAAGCTCTGAGTTGTTGACTCTGAAGGGGCTATGCAGGGAGGGGAGGCAACAAGGAGCATGGGGACTCCAGGGTGACTAGGAGACAAGAGTTCAGAGAGGCAGCCTGTAGTCTTGCCTGTGGACAGAGAAACAGCCAGTTCCAACATCATCACAGAGTGATTAACAAGAGATTATACTTAAAAATGTGCTTCTTTAATGAACCATGAACCACTTACTACCTTCCTGCTCTGGGCATTTCAAGCAATTGCTTCTTGAAATTTCTCTGCTCTAGTTTTGCATTAGCTACCAAAACACATTTATAGAGACAGGGCCTCGCCTTTTTCCCCCCCACTTTTTTTTTTAAAAGGAATTCAGTAGAAAGCTTTTTGTATGTATTACAAATTTGATAACAAAACAGTAGAAAAGACCACCAAGCAGCATGTTTTATGTGGCTATGGAATTTGGGTGTTCAATTTTATTAAACTTTCATTTAAATTCTACTTGTTTTATTTATACACTGTCTTGTATAAGAAAGGATGTTAAGACGTGAACAGATGATAAAATGATAACATGCCTTTTTAAAGGGGACACATACTTCTAAACAGATGGCTGTGGGAATAGTGTTGTTTTATGCCTCTGGGTGGCACTGAGGTTGATCCCACTCCCCGGAGAAGCCCCCAGCTTTCAGGGGCCTCCCCTGGGAGGATAGCCTGGTAGAAACGTTCCCGTCAGGCTGCTGGGCTGTGGGAGCCTCTTGTGCATGTGGCAAGTGTGCAGTGAGCCTTCTGTAGCTGATGAGAGCCAGGAAACCCTTGCTCAGTAAAGTGCCAGTTCAGTAGAGATGGAGTGTCAGTCCTGCGTGAGTGGCAGGATGTGTGCAGGTGGACATGCCAGGGAGAAAGGTGCCTAGTGGTAGAAAAATGTTTCCTAAGTACTTGAAATGACCTCTAAGGTGGTATCAGAATTTCAGTCTCTTGTTTTCAGAGGTCCATGCTGGACAGGATTCCCCTTTGCCCTGAGAATCTTAAAGATTATTTTTCTGCCTTTTTATTTTTGTCACTACTGATTGCCTAATTTTTATTTATTTTTTTGGAATTTATATTACCATCTTGGGGTTATTTGTGAGTTTTTCTTTTAATCTAGATTAAGTAGAAATCAAGGTTAAATAGAAGTTACTTTATTTGAACAATAAAAAAAATATTTTTTTTATAAAAAAAAAAAGAAGAAGAAGTTACTTTAGTGTCAAAGGTTCTTCCTGGTTGTAGAAACTTGGAATTGTCTGCCCAATCCCCTGTTTAGCTTTTCTGACTCATTTTGTGACTCATGATATGATTGTTTCTCTTCTAAGCTCTTACCTTTCCAGCAAAGAGTCCCAAAACAACTGTAGGAGGCAGACTTCCAAAATCTTGTGAAATGCAATCTGTCCACCTGCAGCCTGGCCTCAGCATAGGGAAGGATGTCTGAAATGACAACTCGGCACCTTATATATTGAGCATTTCTGACATTTATTGAAATGGCCAGATGGTGGTCGAGTGCAAAGAGGCCTTGTGACAGCCATGGCCTTAAAGAGCCCAGCCTTCGGAGTCAGGGCTCAGTTTGACCTCCTAGCAGCCTCATCAGGGCAGTTACTTAACCTCTCTGAACCTGTTTCTTTCCATAAAATCCAGACACTTTCACTGTCCACAGGGCTGTGGGCACATTACTCTGCAAGTGCCAGTTTATTCTTATTAGTCTCATGAGTGTGGGAGTCAGTAAGGAGTGCTCTTATGGACTGTGTAAATAATTTGGCTGAGTCCCTCGTCTTCTCTGTGTAGTGTGTATGTCTGTCCCCTCTCTGCAGACTTCTTTTCACTTTCGTGAATGAAATTTGTTTACAGGCAGGCCACACGTATTAGTGTCTGGCCAGCTTCCAGGTCAAGGATCCACACCCAGATAAACTTTCTCCTCCGTGTTGAACAAGTCGTTTCTTTTTGCTCCTCAGTATTTTTATCTGTGAAAATGAGGGTTCTGATCCCAGCACAAGATTAATGAGTGTTAAGGTATCAATGAGAGGGGACAGCAGTGAAGGCATTTGCTCTGCTGTAGCTACCAGCACTTCTGTGACACCTCTGACAACTCAGCTCTTCTGCTGCCGGGGTGCTGTCTTCCCGCCTTGCCAGTTGCTCATTCTCTGTCCTCATCAGGTACTACTTTCCTGGGGTTAAGTCCTCACCTCCTTGGCTCTTATTAAAATCTGCTTTATCCCTGAATCTCTGCCTTCTGAATATTTCTCCCCAAGCCCAACTTCCTTCCACTTTCTCTTTAACCCATACCTTCAGCCAAAAATTCAGAACACTCTTATTTCTTCTTCACCGACATTCAGAAATTGTAGCTTTCCATCATCCCTTGGCTTTTTGAGTCCTCTCGGGGGTTTCTCCTGCTCTTTTCTCCAGGTCTCTCCAGCTTTGGTTTTAGTGAAGCTATACCAAGTCAACATTAGCAAACAGTCCAGAGCACGTAGTTTCTTCTTTTTTTCCCTC